TTGAGGCCAACTTGGGATACAAAGTGAACCCCGTCTCAAAAAGACACACACACACACACACAAATAAAAGTAATTTAAAAGTCTGGAGATGTAGTTCAGTGGCAGAGTGCCCCTTTATAGCACTCACTTTGATCTGCAGTACCATTGAAAAAATACAAATGAATTAAAATGTGCTTTTGCATCTGTAGGAATATGTTAGTACTTCACAACCCTTATGATAACGGAGGACTTACAATAGCATTAGTTTCAATTTCATTCACAAATCTAAGTGAATTAAATTAAGTACAGAAAGTATTTTTGGACTTGTATTTGTAACTCTCCCTGGGACAAGGGTGATTGGAGTTACCTGTCAGGCAGGACTGCCAATAGATCCTCAGGAAGCATATTTTTTTAGCTGAGGAAGAGCAGACTAACATAGGTGAAATACTCAAACATCAGGCACAAAGGAGCAGAGGAAATATGCTAAGCACTTAGAACGTCAGCCCCAAAACAGTGATTAGTAGCACTTTGTGAAACTAAAAAGGCTTATGGGAGAAAAGTGACTTAGCAAAGTGAAGTTGCTATAACAAAACTGACCACAGATTTGGATGGTTTAAACATCTATTTCTCCCACTTCAGGAGGCAGGCTTAAGCAGATTAAGCATTTGGTGATGCATTGATAACAAGTTTTCTTGCTATATCCTCACAACGGCAGAGAAGAGGGAAGAGCACTCTGGGGTTCCTCTTTTAAGGGCACTAATTTCATTCATGAATCTCTGCCCTTATGCCCTAATCACTTCTCAAAACTTCACCTCCAAATATCACCCCTTTGGAAGTTAGGATTTCAACATATGGGTGTTGGGTAGAAGCTATAAACATTCAGTCCATGTCAAGCAGGAATTTGAATGGCATTCTAATTTTGGATAGGCAGGAAGAAAGGGAATGGTACCTCAGGCAAGAGAAACGATGTAAGGGCAGAGCCTTCCAGCCCAAGTGAGAAATAAAAACCAAGGTTCTTTATTGTGCTGACAATAAAGGAAGGTTGGCTCAGCAGTGGGACAAAGTTTTGGGAGAACCTGAAAAGTTTGAGGGAGGGATTTAAATGGATTCTTTAATGTAGACCAGGGGAACCATTTCAGGGGTTGTTTGTCTTGTTTTGTTTTGTTTTGTTGAGACAGGGTCTCCCTAAGTAGGGGGTCTCCCTGGCCTTGAACTCACTGTGTAAGCAAGTCTGGCCTTCAACTCGCATCCTCCTGTCTCGGGCTTCCGTGCTGTGATTACAGGTGTGCACTCCCATACCTGGCTCCCTTACAGGTTCTTGGGCATAAGTGTGCCTATGATATTTAAGAGAGTGTAACTGTTTTTGTTCTTTGAAAGACAATGCTAAGGCATTTATTGACTGTTTCTCTTTTCTTTTATTTTGTTAATCTTTGTGACTTCCAGTCTCTTCTTCATTTACTATTTAGCAGTGTTACGGCTCCTCCCATCGTCTCTCTTGTACTTTCCTTTCTGATGGCTGAGTGAGAGCAGAGCCAGGGGTGGTGTGCAGCAGTCACCTGGCACATGAAACCACCTGCTGCTGTAGGAGGAAAAGAACAGGAAAGCAGGAGCCTCAGCCCCACTCTTTGGCCTCTGCTTGCACAAGCAGCTGTGGAGCTTCTCTATATGGCATGGTGCTGGCTCTGTCCTCTGGGGCAAGCAGGCCTCGGGAAAACCACACAGGCCCCAGTGAACTGGCCCTGAGATGGTGCACTGCTTGAGGGCAGGTGTAAACACTGCTGAGGAGCAGCTTTTGGTCACATCCACCAGCAGGATCCATTTTATGCCCTAATTTTTCTTCTCTCTCCATTCAACCACTCAGTTGTTTTCTTCTAGACATGACCTAAGACAGGTTTGAACACAGGCCTCCAAGAAAGACATCCCTCCTGGATATATGTTCTTTCTATATCTCTACACCATTAGAATTGCTGTTGCCTCCCATCTTGTTTGTAACTTTTTTTTTTTTTTGTCTTTTTCCTTTTTTTATTAGTACCAGGGATTGAACTCACGACTGCCTGCTTGCAAAGCAGGCGCTTATGCCACTGAGCTAAATCCCCAGCCCCTATTGTTTGTAACTTTTAAAAAAAGATGTGAGTATAAGAAGGATTTTAATTTTTGCATTTCTCTAAATCCATTTATAAATTTTTAAAAGCAAAATGCATCTAACCTGATGGAATATTTATAAAAATTGGTAACTCATTGTCAATGAAGTCACATTTATTTAATCTAGTATTAGACTGCCTTTTTTTTTTTAACCAGATGGAAAACATTAGCAGTAATAGTGAACAAACATCCAGGCTCCCAGAGGTCATTTTTAACCACCATTAACAATCTGGTTCTCACAGATTAGTAATATACAAAAGACAACAGTCCCATAAAAGATGCACAAAAGGCAGTCAAAGCTGCTTCTGTGCTCTTTATTTACCTAATATTTAACCACTTCACAAAACCTTTGTAAAATGAGACATTTGAATTTTCTAAGCTTCAGATTGGCAGCTTTTACTCTGGAATTGCAGTAAAACATCTCTTTGCAATAAACACTAATGGAAAAATACTAATGAAACCTTTGCAAAGCTGGTGAAAAGACAACTCATTATTGATGTCATTAGATTTTCAAGTGGTTAATATAGTTTCATATCTTAGCAATTTGTTTGAAGGTTTCATATCCATATAAAGCTACTAATTGTGAGGTGGGAAAGAAATGTGTTCTTACATATCATGTTTTAATTTTCAAATTTAATTATCAAGTTAAAATGTAATATAAGGTAAACAGTCTACAAAAATACACTAATAAATCAAAAAGAATCTCATCTGTAATGTGATAAGGACATGACTTCTAGAATTGCAGAACAATCTCTTTTAAAATATGTTTCGAGTAGTTGATAAAGTTGTAGAATGGTAGTCTCACTGTGCCTTATAGATAAGTGCAGAGATGTACTTTTTTTACTTATTCAGATTTGATATTGTGTGTGAGCATAAAATGTCTACATGTTTAACTGGTTAACTGAGGCTAAACAGGAAAAACTGGACGTGATATGCACTTATCTTCATTTCAAAATATCATTATATTTGGTGTACCTATTAATGATTCATTGTCAACAATGATGCAACTCTTCTTTTACATGAGAATATTTTTAGGAGCTATGGTAAAGTCTATACTTAAAGTATTTCACAGATATTTCCTCATTATTTTCTTATTTTATGGAGAAAGCTAATATATTAAGATATAGCTGAACCTTTAGAGAGAGGTCAGCAATTACCAAGATGAGTAGGAATGAGGCTGTGTAAATGTGATCTAGTTAACGGAAAAAGTGCTTGCCACTAAAGAATTTAGTGATGCAAGGATATTATTGGTTTTTATCACTAACTATGCATATTTTCTGAAACATTTATACTATGTATATGTTACATAGATATATCTAAGTATACACAACCTTACAAATGTGTGTGCATACAACACTCCTGATACTCATCAGGTAGAATGTAGAATTGCCATTTATAAGAAGCTGCTTAGGATTTTCTTGTCTGTTCATAATACTGTAATATAGGTCACTGCTTTGGGGAGAAATTCCGTTTCCCTCTTTGTAGAAATTTTTACGTTGAAAATGAGATCTCCCCATATTCCTACAAGTGCCCAGGGCCATTATTTTCCATTTTTTGCTGAGGGAAATGAATAAATAGTGAGGAAAGAATTGAAACGAATTCTGGTCCATAATTTAGAATTTACAACTTCCTGAGGTTCCTTTCAGTAACAACTGAAGATACTTTAATGAAGGCTTATTGTGCATCCAATATCGTGTTAGGCACTGATCATGCAAGGAAAACAGAGTTCCTGCTTCCAAGTAACACACAACTTTGTGGGTGCCTAGTGGAGTTAGTAAGCAGCAATATACCTGAGACCAGTGCAAGGTGCTCTGGGACCAAGGGGAGATACCTACCCCTTGGAGGTGTGGGAGAAGAAATCCATGAAATGTGTTCAGAATGCCTTTATCTGTATTATGGTTGCTCTTCAGACAAAACCCAGAAAGCTTAATTAAATTAGGTGGCTATTGCAGAAATCGGTTGGAAATTTGAAAATACAGTTATCTGTTTAGCTGAATGATTGAATTGCTTTGATTTATTTAAATTTTCCCAGATTATGTAATAGTATTTAATGTAGATAAATACTTTTTTATAGCTTGCCATCATTCTAGTTAGCACACAAGCAAAGTAGATAAGAACAACAATCGGTTATTCACAATACAGGTTAATTGTTGTTGTTGTTGTTGTTGTTGTTGTTGTTTATTACTAATGAGCTTGCACCCAGGATGTCATGCATGCTAAGTATGTGCTTACCATTGAGCTACACTCTTGTTATTCAACATTACAATTTTATTAGTACAAGATAAATAGTTAAGAGGTGATCAGCAAGCAGGTAAATATTTACAAACTAATGGCTAACTTACATCTCTATTTTAGGTTGCTTTTTTTAAACCAACTAACAAATTACTAGGCAACCTTTCCAGGTTGACTTTCAACCACAACTTTAGGCTTCCCCCTAACTTCTTTCTCACTGTTTCAAATTTTAGAGGCCAAAAAATTGTAGGAGGCTTCTGGCTCTGCAGTTTGGAGGACCTCCCTCATGTCAAGGAGAGGAGGGGCGCCAATGAGATTTCTGTTAGAAAAGTTGGTTTGGCCAGCCTCTTTTGCCTGTTCCAGGAATTGCTTTTATTATTGAAGTTGTATAATCATGGGGATCCTGGGGAGGAGCTAACTTTAGGATGCTGCAGGCCAGGCAGGCTCTGCCCTTTTTTCTTGTGGCTCCTTCTATGGTTCTGAGACTTGTAAAGAAGCAAATGAGAACTACATTGGGTTCTGAAGATTTCTAATTTCAGGTTACAGTAAACAAATTCTTTTGCAGATATTAAAAGAAAATGAAAAGAAAAACTTTCAGAAAATAGTTCCTGTACAGCTAATAATATTTTTCTCTTCCTTGTTTAAAGGTGAACACACTCAAGAAACCAACTCACCTCATTCACTCAAAAAGGATGTAGAAAACATGGGAAAAGGTAAAGAAAAGTTTTAATACTGTAGAACTCTTAGCTCTATAGGACTATGGAGATAATAAGAGGATATTTTTGTTCTACACCATATTTTAAGCTTGACAAGCAACATATGAATAATATATGGACCATTGGGTGGATATAATTGAGATTAATGCATACATATCAATCAATACATGACACTGTAATATAATACTTTAAAATAATATATTACATTGATTTATATTCATGGATTTCTGCACAAAATCTATCCTATGTCTATGCAACACTTTTTTAACTGGTAAGATATTTTTTGTATAATAATAAATTGCCACATATAACAGTTCTCTAGAGAGTTATTTGTAAAGATTAGTAAAATGACTCTTCTTTTTTTCTCTATTAGAAGAACTTCAGAAGGTTTTATTTGAACAAATAGACTTACGGAGACGACTAGAGCAAGAATTCCAGGTGTTAAAAGGAAACACATCTTTCCCTGTTTTCAGTAAGAAATCACTTTTATTTCACTACATCTGTGGCATTTGATTTCTGTTATTATTTAAAAGTGTGATTTTAAGTATTAAGTGATTAAGTACAAAGCCCTCAATCTTCCCACGGTCTGTCTAAATATTCATAAATTCTTCCTTATTTATTCTTTGAATTGTCTCACAGATAAAATTTCTTACAAGAATCTTTTAGTATTTATAGATTTATTTATGTGTATTTGTCTGTACAGTGTGTATATTTTAAAATTTGCATGTAAGCAGGTAATTAAATATGTAAATATATTTACATATTTGGATATGTTTAGACTACATATTTTAAAATAAAACAATTATCCAGGTATTTATTCTTTAAGGTAGATAGGAAACAGAAGACCAATTTACCTTTATTCTCGGATAGCTCTGGATACTTGCCTAGTACTTGAGATACATACAAGAACAAAGATTTAAACTAACTATTCAGCACACAGAGCTCTATTTTACTATAAGCATTCCCTTTATTTTGGGGCATATATTTCAAGATCTGAAGGGAAATCATAAAACCACAGGTAGTTCCAAACCCTATATATATACTATGATTTTTCTTATATGTGTATACTATTAAGTTTAAGGTATAAATCAGGTACAGTAAGAGATTAGCAATATATTATAATAAAATATATAAATATGTAATAAAATATATAATGAAATTTATTTAAAATTTATGAATCATGCATTTCTTCAAATTTTTGTTTAATATTTTTAGACTGCATTTGACCCTACGTAACAGAAACTGATTTAGTGAAACCAGAGTTAAAGGACTACTGTAATTAAAATTATTATACTTTTAGGGGTTTTGTATTATCTAGAATCCCATACTTAATGTTAGAATTCCATTTCAAATGTTGGAGCAAGATATGTTATAGCCTAAAAACTGTTGTTCTGTTTTCAGTCTTGGAATTCTGGAAAGACTTTAATGGTAGATACCCAACTTGCTAAAATTCACCTCCTCTGGGCTGTGTCACACACAGACAAAAATATCCCAGGAGTGTTTTTTGAACTTAATGTAGACATGGCCCTTCTTCAGAGAAGAGAAAGTAGGAAAGAAAGTAATATGTAAGCAGTTTTAAAATTCTTTAAATGAGGGCTGGGGATGTGGTTCTGTGGTAGAGCACTTGCCTACCATGCTCAAGGCCCTGGGTTCAGTTCCCATAACACACACACACACACACACACACACAACAGACGAGGACCACAGAAACATGACAATATCTTCTTTAGAATACTAGCATGCCTCTTGTTAGTAACCTGGGTAACACAAAATTGTCAAATTGACAGTTATTATCCCAGAGCCATACACCAGCATCTAGAAGATTTTTCAGTAATTGTGACCATTTCAGTCCTATGAACTGAAGATCTGAATCCATCAGCACTTCCCAGGGTTTATCACCAGCAAGAGCTGAAAGATAACTCTGGAGAGCATTGGGAACAGTGCCAGATTCCTGGCAACATGCCAAACTGAGGTCCACCTACACTCAGTGGGGCTCATCCTGAAGAAGACATTCATTATTTGGTGGAAGAGTGCTCCTACCATGGGAACAGTAGGTCTGACAAGTTTCTGATTTCTCCAGAACTACCAGGCAGGTTGTGGGCTCCTAGGGTTTCAGTGTTTTGAACTGAGAGAATTCCACCGGCCTTCAATTGAAACCAGGAGACTAGCCAGTAGCTTTTGATAATGCATTTAGGAACATTATTACATTTGTGGCTTCAAGAAATATTAAAAATATCTTTGAAGCCTTAAGAAACCAAGTGATCTGGCAGGGCACCATAGCTCATCCCTGTAACTCCAGTATTTGGGAGGCTGAGGCAGAAGGATCACTGCAAGTTAGAGGCCAGCCTGGGCTACACAGTGAGTCCAAGACCAGCCTGAACTAACATAGTGAGACCTTGTCAAAAAAAAAAAAAAAAGAAAGAGAAAGGAAGGGAGGAAGGAAGAGAGAAGAGAGAGAGAGAGAGAGAGAGAGAGAGAGAGAGAGAAAAGAAAAGAAAAGACAAAGACAAAGACAAAGACAAAGACAAAGACAAAGAAAAGAGAGAAAGACAAAAAAAGGAGGGGGAAAAGGTGCTCCAATAGGCTTCTCTAACTTTTCAGGAATTGAACTCACGACTGCCTGCTTGCAAGGCAGGCACTTATGCTGCTGAGCTAAATCCCCAGCCCCAGCTTCTCTAACTTTTAAAACAGTATCTTAGGAAAGACTACGTCTTACAATTCTTCCCAGTAATGAGCAACAAATGATTTGTTTTTCACAGCTGATGTTTATCTAACTGTTGAGTTTGCAAAGCCCTGCTTTTAGATCCAGCAGAGTCCAGGTCCAGTCAAATGTCTAAAGTACCCTTTTAGCATCCCATGAAACCAGTGTAGCCATAATTTATCCTATTAATAAATGCTAATGATCATTTTAAAGACTTAAGTAACTCACAGCAACTTAGGAGCTTTGCTTACTATCTGCGCTATCCTAAAACATGTATATGTTTCTGTTATTTAAAATGTTAGAGTATTATAACTGGCCAGGTTTAACTTAGATTTTGTTCTGAATTAATGAGTCATTTGTGACTGTCATATATATGAAACATGACCATTAAACACCAACAGAAAATTTCCACTTTTGTCTAATATGCTCTGCTGACTAAGGAAGTGGGATGTGTGTGCCCAAGTTTGAAAAATGCTTGGTTTAAACATACCACAAAGAGGCAGTCAATTTCACACAGATGAAAATAGCAAATGCACATTATGTGTTCGTTAACTAAATGTGAGGGACCATGAGACCAGCAGATTTAGATTTGCTCAGATGCAGTGGGGAAAACCAAACTTTTAAAGCCACGTCGGAAGGAAGCATAGATTAATCTCTGTAAGAAGTTTGTACGGAGCAGAGGCTAGGGATTTAGCTCAACAGCACAAACGCCTGCCTGACATGTGCAAGATCATGAGTTTTACACCCAATACCAAAAAACAAAAAAGTTTGTAGAGTGTTGCACCAGGAAGTAGACAAACACAGTCATATTATAAAATCCAGATATTCAGCGCACTGGAGACCCCAGCAGTGCACTGTAGCATGTGACAATTAGGTATCTAGGCTGTAAATCTATCAGACCTGAGTTCATTGCTCCTTAATGATTGTCTGCCCTTTGAAAACTATGTAATGGTGCAGATAACTCCTGTTTTGTAGGATGAAAAGATTAAATAACCCAATTCCTGTGAGATGCTGTGCATGTACCCAGCACAGGATAAGTGTGGTCCGAATGATAATGGTGATTATGAACCAAAAGGAGAAAGAGAAGGGTATCAGCGCTGAGCTCTGGAAAAGCATTTCTAAAAATCTGAACCAAATATTGAGCTTTGGGAGCTTCTTTTGGTTTGGAGGGTTCATGAGGACTATGAGAATGAATCCTGGGCACAAAGAAGTATAGTCAGCTTTTCCATTACTGAGACACCATACCTGACACCCACAGTTTAAAGGAGGAAGAGTTTAATATAGCTCACTGTTTCAGATTCAGTACATGGGTGGTAGACTTCAAGGCAGAAACGTCTTGGCAGAAGGGTGTGATGGAGCAAACTTAGTTCGTGGTGGCCGAGAAGCAGAGGAGGGGAACAGCAGAGGACCTTGGATTGTAAGGAACACTGTAGCTCCTTGACCCACCCATACACTCCTCCAGGAGTGTGCTTTACTAATTTGTGAGGTGTTAGTCCAGTGAAGTTGACATATGAAGGTTAACAATCAAAGCAAAATTCAGGTACAATCAATGTGGAGGAGGAAGGGGTGTGAAAAAGGAGGAGGGAAGAGGAGGATGCAGAAGGAGAAAGAAAAGGATGAGTCTGACAGGAGAAGAATTAGAAAAAGAAGAAGAAATTAGGCTCTCTCCTTTGGTTTAAGGCCAAGGGAGAAGGAGGAGCAAGAAAATCTTACGCTGAGCCCAAGGCTTGCAGAGCTGCTGTCCTTGAGCACTTCTGTCTGACCCTGATGGGGAGACTTGAGAGGAGGAAAGGATTGAGACTCCAGGCGATGCTCCCTGGAGTGGAGGCAAGAAGCTAGAGGCACTGCTGCCCCACTCACTAGCTGGGTTCTCCAAGGCAAGTTTCCTAACCTCTTTTCCAACAATAAAGCAATACTGCTACCTGTTTCCCAAAGTTGCTGAGAGGATTACCTGAGCAGACTATTCAAAGTGTCTTGCAAGGCAATAGATGCATAATGACAATAAATGTGAGTTGTTGTTAGTATACACCATTTTAAAGTTTAATGCTATGTTCCTGCAAAGATGTTATCATAAGCCAACTTGTACTAGAAATCAGTTACATTTAATATGAATGGAACAGGTAGCAAAGCTTGTTTTCATACTAGATAATAAGTGTGATTGACAAACTGATTAGGATTTGAGAAGCAAAGTCTGGAGAGTATCTTAAGGAAAGGCAGTAGAAATGGGCTCTAGGGTTGGGGGAAAATAGAAGTTGGGGTAGAGGAGGAGGAGCTCCACTGTTATCAAGGTCACCTGAGATAACAATAGAATGGCCAAAAACAAACATATTCTGCAGTGACAGTCACATAGGATTGTAGTAAATGATTAAAGGTGACCCCAGCTGGCACCACTCTAAAACTTCCACTCATGACTGATCTGACCAGTTTTGCAGCTTTAAATCCAGAAGTCATTTTTGCCAACATATTGTTTACTCTATCTAAAATATGTATTCTCTTCTCCTGTCTTCTCCAATATGCTAGTCTTTCCTTTGTTTACTTTACTGTCTTCCCACTATCTGTATACCCTCAGACCTCACGCTTTCTCCATATCCTGTGTACAGCTCATATCTCACCATTTCCAGGAAATCTTCCCACATTTACAGGGAGGTTTCCATTCCTGACATCCTTCTGTCTGCATTTCTGGTTCCATCAAGTCTGTGTTGACTCCTCTTCTGACTGTTTCATTCTTGGTACTCACTTCTACCCTGTTGCATTGTAAATAGGTTCAGGAAAGAGCTACCCAGAACTTTCCTCTGTTGTTGCTTCTAATGTCTGGAACGTTGTGGGTCTGTGACATATTCAGAAAATACTTGCTAGGAGTGATGGTGTCATGTTGGAAGAGATTTAAACTAACAATAAAGCTGATTGTGATGATACACAGAGGTAATCCCATCACTCTGAGAGGCTAAGACAGGAGGATTGCAAGTTTAAGACCAGTTTGAGTAGTTTAATGACTTAGACTTTGTCTCCAAAAAGAGTGTTTAAAATAAAACAAGGGCTGGAACTGTAGCTCTCCCCATGTCCAATTTCAAATATTGGGAGGAAAAAAATTACTAACAGTGAATGATACTGGATCCCTGAAGACTGCTGTACAAAGGGGATCAGTCAAGGCTCATGGGTTATGTCTTTGGTTCTGCAAGTATAAGAACAAGCTCCGGGCACTTAAGAAATGTGAATGAAAAGGCCAGTCAGTTACTATGGGGAAGGATAATGAAGAGGGCCCAAGGGAACCCTTAGTAGATTTCATCTAAATGTCATCATTTTAGATTCTTATACAGAATCACAATTACAAATTACTATGATTCTTTCTTATGAGAAGCAAACACACTTTATCTTCTCTACCTAGATCTGATTGTCTGCATCTTTCCCCTGTGACTGTCATTGTGGAATTCTTTTGTTGTCAGTGCTTTCCTTCCTTCCTTACTCCTTTTGGGACATCCTCTAGGTGGGGCTGGAGTGGGTTGCACAATACTGTCCAAAAGGCTGAACATTTCCACAGCTGTTTGAAAACGGTGATAACACAATGAAGGCGACATATACAAAACAAGCCTCTAGGCCTATTCCTAGGTGAGTAGGATCTGGCTGAACCAGATGTGCCATATTGGGTGTCCTGTTCTTTAGAGACCCCAGAGTGTAAGCTGCATACATCTCACTGCTGTCTCTCTCTCCCATGCAGAGCCCTTGCCACTGTGCTGACTGGCCTGTGGCACTGCATTGCTTTCTTCTGCTACATCTTTTTATACTATAGTTTTCTAAAAATAGTTGTGTTTTAAGTGATTCTCACTAGAGAAATAAGTTTAGTGACCTTCTTTCTCTAGTTAAATTACATTTTTAATCAACCTTTGGAATATAGCTAATACTAAAAGTCTTTGTTTGCCAACTGACAATCTCTATATCTCAAAAATTCTATGTATGGTTGCTACAGAAAATTTTAAATATACAGAAATACAAAGAGAAGAAAACAACAACAAAAAAACCCCACCAGTAACCAGAGTTAACATTTGGGAGTTTCAGTTCTTTTTACACATATGAAATCTTTTTTTAAAAAAATAAAGTGAAACATTATATAGTGCCCACCATTTTTTACGTTTCTTAAAATGTGGCTCTTTTTGTCAATACACAGCAGTCTATGAGTGTCCTTTTTTGTTTATTTGTTTTATTTTTGTGGTCCTGGGATTGAACTCAAGGAGTTTGCACTAAGGTGTATCCCGTCCTTTCTTCGTCTTTGTTTTGAGACAGGGTTTTTGCCGACTCACTAATTTTCCCAGGGATAGAAAAACTTATGATGTTTCCACCTCAGCCTCCCATAGTGCTGAGATTACACATGTGCACCACATTATGAAAGTCCTTTAATGTTGGGCATTATGGTTTATCCAAGTTTTAGGTGAAGTTATTATTTCTTCGGGAGAAACTCCTAAAACAGTTTCTGTGTTGAAGGGTATGAAATTCTTTATTTATTTATTTTAATCGATACTGGAGATCGAACTCACGAGTGCCTGCTTGCAAGGCAGGTGCTTATGCCGCTGTGCTAAATCCCCAGCCCTTTTATTTTTTTATTTTAAAGAGGAAAAAAATAGCAAATTTTCAAAACAAGATAATAGGGAGATAATGATGGTTAATACATTGCATATTATTATTTTTAATTAGTTACTCAGACTATAAAATATAGGCATTTAATTGTCCAAACTATTGACATATGAAATTTTTGAAGCCTTCCCATTTCAAGTTGCTTTCTAGAAAAGTTATACCAGTTTATACTCCCATCCCTGTGACCACACGTCTTTTAATCCTTACCGTCTTAAATGGAAAAGAATTTTCATATCATTTGCTTTTCTTTCATTCTGATACATTGAACATTTTTTCTTCCATTTGTATGTCTTCTGAATCTTTAGTTTATATTCTCTATCCATTTTTCTTTAGATATGTTCAAGTTCTTACTGATTTATAGGAACTTTTTATATGCAGTACTAAGATATTACTTCCGAGACATTGCAAATATTCTTGATTTGTATAAGTACTTCAAACGTTAACTATGGTGTGTTATGTTTGGGGAGTTTAATTTGCAATCTATTTTCATATTAAAGGTTTTATTCCTGCCTAATTGAATCTATTAGTCTTTTCCTTTTTGGTTTTCGCCTCTGAGGCTCTTCCCCACTCCAGTCTTACAAAAATACTCACTACTTTCCCCAGTATTTTAATGGCTTTATTCTTTTCATTTTACATAATTGTGTTAAGAACCAGAGTAGAGCAAGAGCAAGAATTACTGCCCAGACTACCCTTCATCCTCGCACTCTCTGTATATTTTCCATAGCCATTTTCTCTCCCAGATCAGAATCTGCTGGTGTCCTGAGGAGGTGCATGAGACAGGTCAGCTCAGCCACCCCTATTTCCAGTCCATGCCAATTTGCCAGTCTAATCAGAGGCACCTCAGATTCCTCAGACAGAGAAACCTACCGAGGCTCCGAAGAAAGTTCTGCCCTTCCCAGAAGGAAACATGCCTTGTGCCTGGGTTTGTCTGCATCTGGATACATACTAGTCTTCCTGGAAGCCTTTGAGTCACACAAAGGGAGAAAGTGTTGGAACCAGCAGTTTAGCATGGGCTGGTTCCCCTGTTGCCCTGGGTCCTGCTCACCCAACCCTTCTATCTTTCACCCTCTACAGACTTCCCTTCACTACGACATTTTTCACATCACATTCAGACAAAAGTAGAGATTGAGTCTTTTTTAAAACTCAGTTATAACACATGCTAGGCCTGGGAAGGAATTCCGGTAGTATACAAAGGTAAAGGTCAAAAATAAAAAGAACTAAGACTTTTAATCTCTAAGTACTCATAATCTCATGAGTACTAAAGAATTTATAATCTTGAAAGTGATTGGAAACCTTTCGAGATTTTAAGCATGTGAATGAAAGGTATTTGTAAAAAGAGAAGCTGGAGTCCCAAAGTCAGTCAGAAAGCTATTCAGGAAAGAAGAGCCTGTATTTGGGAGATAACAATGACAAAGACAAATAGGGTGGCATAGAGGTAGAATACATGAATGCAGATATGAAAGGAAGAGAGGAAAAGTTAAGCATGAAGTTTCTGGCTTCTTAAAACTGCTGCTCTGTATATTAGCTGCACATACAATGTGAAATCTTCCTAGTTTCTCCTTTAACGCAGAAAGAGCCGAAATCAGTCAAGTCTACTCTTTTTAAAAGACCACATGGAAAAGATGCAATAATGCGCTATTCATTTGGAAGCCATTCCTTTCTTTAATAAAATGAAAGTGATCAATAATGTAAGCTAGCAGCACTAGTTTTATATAATAATATCTCTTAAATTTGCCCTCTTCTCGGACTGAGACCATGTCTTTAGAACAGCACCAGGTCATAGAATGACCGTGACAGGGCTAATACAGAGTGGGAAGGATGCTAGTTGGGAGCATCAGGCCAGAGTATAAGAGCAATGGGCTGCAGGAAAGCCAGGCGAGCATTTTTCTATGTCTTAATTACCCAAAAGACACTGCATACACAACCATCAGCATTTCCTATGGGCAGCTCTGTCTAAAGTCTACTTCCTCAGTGGCACTGGACTTAAGGCAGGGAAAGCTTCCATGCTGTGTAATGTTAGTGGACATGATGTTTCTGTGTAATTCTTATATGCAAGGGATTAGACATGATGGAATATGAGATTCTCTGAAATATAAGATATAGACCTTACTCTTTCAAAATTTACTGTCTAGTCTAGAATGTTGAAACTATATTGTTTTTTTGTTTGTTTTTTGTTTTTGTTTTTGTTTGTCTTTTTCGTTTTTATCGGTACCAGGGATCGAACTCACGACTGCCTGCTTGCATGGCAGGCGCTTATGCTGCTGAGCTAAATCCCCAGCCCCGAAACTATATTGTTTATTTAAAAAATAAATGAAAAAGGAAAGACAGAGAAGGCTCCCTATGGAACTATTAGCAGTATTTTTAGTAGGTACAACTGTTCCTTGTGTCAGTGGGGAATTGATTCTAGAATCCCCTGCAGAACCAAAAAATACCTATAGATATCATGAATGCTCAAATCTCTTTCAGAAAGTGGTGCAGCCTTTGCATATAAACTATGCACATCCTTCCATATACCTTAAATTACCTTTAGATTCCTTGTATATCTAATACAATGTAAATGCTATGTAAAGACTTGTTATACCACATTGTTTAGGAAATAATGACAGTAAAAATCCACACATGAGGACCGAGGATTTAGCTCAGTGATCTAAGTGCCTGCCTGGCAAGCGCAAGGTTGTGAGTTCAATTCCTGGTACCAAAACAAAAAAAAAAAAAAAAAAAGAAAGAAAAATCTGTACATGTTCAGTATAGATATAATTTTTCAAATAATATTTTGATCCTAGTTTGACTAAACATATGAATGTAGGACCCTCTGATACAGAGGGCCAATTGTATACTAAAAGTGCATTTTGCCCTTTAATTAATTTCTTTAACTATTTCTCTCTCCTCCCAGATAATTTTCAGGATCACATGAAAAGGGAACTAGCCTACCGTGAAGAAATGGTGCAACAGTTACAAATTGTAAGATGTTTTTCTACTTAAAAATAAACGTGATTTGATTGGCTTGTTTTCAATCCACCTAATATGTATGAAACTCTTCACATTTTTGCCAGGAAACCTTTTGGTCCACTTACCTCTAGCTGGTTAACTGCTAATTACCAAAAGATTTACTTAGGCATAGGGTAAACAGATGTGTCAGTATGTTTCCTCTAAATGTAACTACCAAACATGTGTTAATAGACAGATGTCTCCGTGGGTGAGCCAGAGATACCTGCGGTTGTATTTTTTTCATGCAACCTTCCGAGCATAGAGCTGGAATGCAGCAGGAGTGCAGTGAATGGCCACCGTCTTCTGCCAGCACTTGTTTTCTCAGAACATGCCTAAGTCATGTCCTCCGTGGCCACCAAAATTCAGTATGCACACAATTAACCAATTACATTCATTAGAAGGATGATGAAAAAAACCTACTTCCTTATACATTCCTTATACAGGGGGAAACAAACAGGATGATGTCTGATAAATGTTTTGTTTGGAGTTTTTGCTTGTGTGTTTGTTTTGTGAATTCCTCACCCTTTATCCCCATAAGACATATCTGCTATTATTCATTAGTGCTTTTAAAGCAGTCTCCCAAGCTTCCTTATTTTCATGAGTACAATGGGAGAAATAATTTCTGCTCAATGTTTTTGAAATATTTTTAATCACATAGATAAAGACGTAGGCTGATCCTTAGTGATACTTCCAGTATGATTTTTTAATTTGGGTTGCTTGATTCTTTTGAGCTGATTTACATTACCTTTAGACCATTAAGAGCTAAGTATCTGCTTATCTATCAGGATTAAGAAAGATGGTTGTTAATGTTTCCTTTCTGTACCAGAGAAATTGGGCCAGTGTTTATGGAGATTCACAAGAGCCATTGTTAAAACAATCTCGGATATCATCTCATTTTTGTTTAGTCTGGGGACTTGGCTAAAAAGTGTGCATATAATGCTCACGCTCCCACTCTAGTTTACCTGACCTCAGGTGCTGCATAATGACTCTCATTCTGAGAACCTCAACAAAATATATCATTTAAATATGAATTCTAGGGCTGGGGATTTAGCTCAGTGGTGTAAGCACCCCCTGGAAAGGGTGAGGTCATGAGTTTGATCCCCAGTACCAAAAAAATAAAAAGTAGAATTCTATCTTCTAACTCCTCCTCTTTTTCCTCTCTCTCTCTGTCTCTCTCTCTCTCTGTCTCTCTCTTTCTCTAATTTTGACACAGGGTCTCATCACACTGCCTAGGCTTGCCCCAATTGTGTGATCCTCCCACCTCAGTATCCTGAGTAGTTGGGATTGCAAAGGTATGCTGCCACACCCAGCAGCATCTCTCTTCTTTTGTTTGTGTTTTGTGTACTAGTTTTGTCTACATCTAAATTCACTACAGAGCAGATGATTTTCTTAATTGATTGATGATAAATTCTCCATAGAAGGTTAAAAAATTATATCTACTATTCTCAACTTTTGACTTCTAGATAATAAAATCTACACTTACTTGCTGTAAATATACTTACTGGTTTACTTTAGCCGGAAGAATTTTAACTGTAAAAGTAGAGGTAGGGGATGTAAAATTTTAAGACCTTATTTTACACAGGGCATCATTTTCAGGTTTTTAAAACAAAAGTTGCCACACATGAAACAAGAATTGCAATTTCAGCATACTGGTGAGTATAGCAAAATGTGCATTAGCAAAGGAAATTTCAGTGCCCCATTTAAAGGCCAGTTATGTAACCTTAAAGTTTTAATTTTCCTTGACATTTGGTTGCTTTAGTAAAAGAGGAAATGATACTGCATCCATGTAATAAGCAGACAGTATTGAAAGAAGAAAAATGTCTTGTGTCTTTTGAGACAAACTGGAATTACTAAACATTTTTATTATGTTGCACTATAAAATCTTTTATCCTCATATATTCATCAACTAGACAAGTTTTATTCATTCACATGCCTCTTAATACTAAAGCATTCCTGATAGTTAATGAAATAGTCTGAGAGAAGGTAGAATTTTTTCCTTCAGTCCTGTAGGTAATAATGGTTCCTAAAATTCACAAAGATATATTCAGGCTAACAACAAGAAATCTTCTTCATCTCTTGTTTCCCTTCCCATAAGATGTACTGGGCCACTACCTCCTGCACCCAGAACAGAATTTAGCACCAAACAGAAATAAACAGTTGTCAAATAAATCACTACTCACAGATCCCCCTAACTCAACTCTGATAGGCAGTAAACTGTCCCCTAATTCTCTTCCAAATTTTACTGGGCTCATCCTGAATTCCTAAAACAAACAAAAGGAAGGCAAACTGGTGAATTATGGGGAATTTATGTATTACTACTGTACTGGCTACAAGTAAAAACCATGATCTTTAAGGTCTGCAAATTTAAGCTCAATATTTGTCCCATATAGTTTACTGTCACTTCTTTTTTCCAAAGGGAACTGTAAAGTTCAACCTGATAGGGACATTATAAGGTGAAACTGAATGGTGGACATGAGATGCATATGTAGGGTATAAAATGCTATGCCAATATGAGTGATCAACTTAATAGACCTTCTCAAATTAGTGCCTGTAACTGGTTAAGCCCTGGTGGTTAGAGATATGTTTGTGTGGTAAGGACCCTGTCTGAATTATATTATTTGCTTTAGAATTGATACGACAGACTTAAGTATTACTAGAGCAGTAATGTATCTTGTTTCTTTTTTGATTTTCGGATTGGGTAAAGTTCCTGGGGTAAAATGTCTTCAGAGAATTCTATCTGAAAATTATCTAGGCATTGAAAAGTACCACAATTATTGGCTTTCTCAATATTTTAGTTGAATAATCTCATCCCTTAGTAAATAACAGAACAATTACAAAGAACAGAACAATCTACTAAAAATTATTTTATATTTAAAGTTTACAATAACATATATTACAGAATAGACATTTTTCTTTAGATTAAATTTTGTAACTATCCAATCTTGCAATCATGGAGAATGCAAATATATTAAAACCATCATATTTTGTAATGATTCCCACAGACCTACAATGCATTTATCCTATGTTGTTACACAGTGTTCCTATTCAAAAGACTTACATCAAAAGCATCTTGGGTATCATTGCCATAAAAAGAAAAGTTATGAATTTCTTTGGATCCTACACTTTTAGATTCTCTGTTGACTGTAATTTCTATGCCAATGTTTCTTTCTCCAGTTTGCTAAATGCAAACTTCTACTGACTATAGCCAGATGATCAGCTCTTTTTGTGCATTTATAAACAAATGTGTATATATGTAAATATATATCAATGTGATATATAATGTGCATAATTAGAATTAGTTTATTTAACATTTACGCCACAAGCTGGTTTTTTTAATTGTTTAAATTTTAGTACTACTTGGAATAGTTTCTGTTAAGATCCCCTGTCCTTGCTCTACGTTTTCAAATGCTTGAAGTATTTTCTTTATTAAGCCATATGTTTTTGGCAAACAAAGAAAGGTATGCCTATTACTATTAACCAATACAAAAGTTTAAAAATTTAGCAAATTCATGAGAATGTAAATGTTTAACATAATGGAAGGTGAATGATTTGTCATTCACACATGAATTATGATACTAGGAGAAATATGTTCAGTTTAAGAAACAAAACCACTGTCCCTTAGCATTAGGAAGAAGCTGAAGATATTTTATTCAGTGAGTAATGTTTTGCTAAGGTTTGAAATCTAATAATTTACAACATGAACTGGAACGATTGAGATGCCTTCCTACTCTTTTTTTTTTTTCAGTGCTAATTTGGCAATCTTTTGAGCAAATACATCTATGTATAAGTTACTACTAAAATATTGTTGAGAATGTGCTTTTTTATTAGTGAATGATATTGTGAAGTTGCAACACAGCGCACAAGATCAAAGGCTAGACCCAGGCTCTCACAGCCTTTGAACTTGCGGTGCAGCAGCCAAGAGGCGCGAAAGAGAAAATGTACTGGTCTTGAAGTGCCCTCTGCTGTTTTTACTGAAAGCTGCAGTCGCAGTCAGCTGGGGGAAAGTCTCAAAGTTCTTCATTAAAAGCTCAATTAAAATAATGTTCAATCAATGGATTTAGTACTAATGTTTTGTTCACTGTGGACTTGTAAAACAGCAGCTTGCCTCTTCCCAATGGTGGGAGCACAACGGTTCTTAGCAAGAAAAGAGTGATAGGTCTTTATCTTTTCTGGCAAGCACTGACTCAGTAGTATTCTTTTCTTGGAGGTTCTCCAGTATTCATTAGAATGGGAACTTGCCCAGATTTCTGGGGTCTCAACTCAAAAAGGTTTTTTAAAATATATTTTACATCTTTTTTAAAGCACATAGAACTATTTTGCATTGTATTTTTGTAAAAAAAAATATCTCACCGGTCATTAGAGGATTTTACTTTTGTGGTTTTAGTATGCATCACAAGGAGGCCACAGCAAGTCAGAGGACTTGATGAAAATCTAAACCTCTTTGGAATGTCTTTAACAGTCTCTAGCAGTAGACAAACTTTGACTGCTCTGCATCCTTTTTTCAATTATTGATCTACAGTTATGCATCTTAACAATGCAGTCAATTCTTAGTTCTATAGCTTTCTTTTCATCTTTCTTGCTTTACAAATGTTTTACTTGAGCATCTGAGTTTAGGCACTCTCTTGACATAAACTAAAGATGATCTTTTTGGTAAGACCCAAGTCATTTTAATATACTAGCTAAGTAGGAAATTTAGAAGGTACATAATACTTCAAACTTTTTATGCCAATCTTGGTGATTTTCAAACCAGTCAAAATGAAGAGTTTTTATAAGTCTTATTGTAGGACATTTCTATGGTATGCTGAGCTTATATAAATCTTTTGGAATCCAGAGATCTGGATCCAGGAGTATTTCTTGCTGTATCTGTAAATCCAAGATTGCATTTTATGAAATCTGTAAGAGCCATAATTACTTGATAAATCATAAGAAAACTTCCAACAATAGTTCTAAGATACCATCAATTAAATATATCTGATGTAGACCTGCTAAAATACGAAGAGAAAAATATATCTTGAAATCAATGCAATGTTGTAGTTTTCATGAACAAGTGGGACATATGTTAACATTGTCTTCAGTTATTGTTCATGATTTAGCACAAGGTGTTCCGCTCATGACTTTTTTGCTTTTTTGTCTTCGTTGTATGCCTTTTATCTCATTTTGTTTTATGGAAGTAAATCTAGTTATCTTTGGGTTAGGATGAGTAGTTTACTCATTTTAATGAGTGGTTCATGGTGATGTTAACTTATTTCTCACAGTGTCTGGCACAGACCAGACACATACTGAGACCAAGCATCTGCTCTCACACAGGACTCTTTAAATGTGACAGCAGCACAAACACATTTTATTGAAAAGTCATCATGTCCCCAAATTTATATCATTTCTAATTGTAATAAAATTAAACTACAGAATTCCACCCAAGATTTTATTATATCATACATCTAACAAGAGAGATGTTTCATGTGCTTTGAAATATTGCAGTAAACACCAGAATGGAAAACTAAGATTCATAGTGTCTGTGTTAATAGCAGACATAGCATAATTTACAGTGAAAAGAGGAGGTAGCTAGAGTAGGTCCTCATGTAACTGTCCTCATTATAGTTATCTAACTGATCTCAGCCATGTCCTAAAATATAAGATTAGGACATTGAGCTGTTTATGTTACTACATGAATCATTAATTTCAGTACTACAATCCATACTTTTTATCAGGTGGATATGTATCAGATATATTTAGTTTGTAATTGTTGCTCAAAATAGTGAGATCATTATTTTAATATCTTTTTTCCCAGTTAATTTGTTTGGGGCCTGGGGATTTAGCTCAGTGGCATAAACGCCTGCCTTGCAAGCATGCAGTTGTGAGTTTGACCCCTGGTACAAAAAAAAAAATCTGTTTGATTCAAGTAATCTGTTACTATGGTAAAACTGCTCAGTTCATCTTAATTACAAGCATTATTGTAAATAAGTAGCTCCTTTCCATGAGGAAAGCTTCTTAGGTATAGACTGGTAGATCAAGATGGTAAAACATACTACCAGTAAAATGCCAAAAATGCAGAGATGCACACAGCAGAATTCTAAAATATTGCCTAATGAGTGAAAATAATTTTATTTTCTTCACTGCTTTTATGAAATAGCCATATTTCATATTACTTTTGTGAAGGATGAATATGTATTTCTTCAGATGTAAAATAGATTTAAATCTTTAGAGTCCTGCTTAGCCTTGTAATGATGCAGGTAGGTCACATAATGATACATCACCTTAATCAGAGTTAGTAGAGAGGCAAATCTAAATAATACATGTAGTCTAATTTCAACTATTTGAATTTTCTAATGAAAAGTAGCATTTCAAATGTCATAGGCTTTCATTCCCAAATCCAGTATTCAAAAGTGTTTTTCAAGTTTATAGAGATACTATTTTCAAGAATTATATTTTTTATTCAGTTCATTTATTTCTACTGCTTTTATCAATTATTGGAAATTTACCCAAAATAATCCTTTGTGTTTCATTGGTCTCCTTTGTGACATATAATGACAGTATATCTTATAAAGAACACATTTCATAAACTGAAGGATTACATTTAATTAGTTTGCAATCATATTCTTGTTTTGTGACCTTGGACATGCTTTCTCACATTGTCATTCAGTTTGCATACCTAAATAAAAAATTACATTACCATACTCGCAAATGCAAAGTTTTAAACCTTTTTAAAGTAAAATACTAGATGCTAAGCTCAGTGACTAGCTGTAACAACAAGCAGTGTGATCACCTATTGTGTCCTCAATGTGTTTTTTAATAGGCCTTAGGAATTCTGTACCCCAGAAGCCTCATGCTGCTGAATAGATGGAGACCTGAGATGATCCTTTGGCACTCAAATTGTTAGTCATGATGAAGGGTCTCTATTACACATCTTCTCCAAATTTAGCTCACCTGAATGATTTTGTCTTTTTTTTTTTTTTTTTTGTCTTACAGATCCCCTATGCAGCAAGCTTGATCAGGAAAGAAAAGCTTGGTGCCCATCTCAGCAAAAGCTAAAAGGTGAGATTGCCAAAAAAAAGAGATTTGATTAACAATTTGTATTGTCAGTACTGCTTGTGCCCTTTATTGATAAATTTGAAATAGTTTAAGGGATTAGAAAGGTTAAATCAATACACTAATGATGGGACTTCATGTGGAGATGGGACTTCATAAGTGCGTGGCTAAGTGCTTCTTATAAACACTATGGAAAACTCTGAAAACTAAAAACAAAACCCTTATCTTCAGTTAGTGGAAATGATACGCATTTTGTTTTGAGGTTTTGCACTCTTTAAGGTTCTCTTTGACATCCCTGCTTCTGCCCTCCCCCCAGAGGATATCTTCAGTCATGCTTACCTGTCTCTCTGCTTCCAAAAAGCTTTCCTGACTTTCAGTGAGTCACAGCGGGTGGTAATATGACCAACTAGGGATAAAACAGACCTTGATACCTGTTCAAGGAGCAGTAATTCATTCTTTACCTAAACACCTAAGAGTTTCTGTCAGCGGAAGCCAGGCTCAAGATCATATTCCTGGCAACAATTTAAAAGACAAATATTCCTGAATCTTAAGCAAAAGCAAGTAATGAAAATTTGATGAAAACATCAGAATATCATTTGCCTAAACATCTTAAAAACAACTTTTTGGTTCTATGGAAGAAGAAAAGGTTTTTATTAAAACTATAGGAATCCAAAAACTATAGGAATCCAAACCTATGTTTGTTTTTGTAATATTGTGAGATGTACTAACAGAATTGCTAACTCAGGAAAAATTTTCTGATTCCAGAAGTACTATTTATTACTGCTTGTGGTCAACTAGTATTGTGGCAATTTATCAGTTTGATCCATCCCATTAGAATCCTTCTTCCTGCTCCTTCCTTCTGGAACATAATTCATTTCATAGAGTTTATAAGCAAAAATAACTTCCTCACAATGCAGGCTGTGGGTCCCTTTTCTTCCCTTCATGCCTGTCTTCTCCATGTCACAACTACTCTTGCAGATGATACTCCACCCTGTCATCTTTATTAGAGGTAGCTTTCTAGTGTTTGTCTTAAATACTGTAATGTACATCCCACTTCATGAGGCACTGAAAATTCTTTCCAAAACAGCCTACTATTCAGCTCCTTAATTTTGCACATGGATAGCTCAGGCACAGATAGAAGAAATGTGATCTTTTGTGTCCATGTTGCAAAACCAAGAAGCAATTCTAGGGATCCCAACATTAGATATAATGCCTACCTGCTCATAATTACATGGAAATTTTGTTCTCAGTGGACAGGTGTTTCTGTAAATGATACCAGACAAGTGAACCTATTTTCAACCCTTTAAAGTTATACACAAATGTGCTTGTGAGTTTGGCTTATCTTTTAAAGTATTTTTAAACTTACCTTTTAAAGTATGTTTATTGTCTGAAGTTGGCCTTTATTTCTTTCCCATTAAAATAGACCAGTTTTGCACAAGTAGTATGAAGTAAAAATTTTAGAAATTCAGATTCCAGTAAACTAGACTACCAAGGTAATATCAAATTTATTCTGATACACTCTACATGATTAATAGTAGAAAACATAATTTCCTTTGTGTGTTTTAAAATAACTATTTTTCATTGAAATGTAACACACATTCAACAAATTCTTTGTATTACAAGGTCATACAAACCAGAACTCAGTGAATTTTTAGCTAGGTCTCTAGCACTTTGTAACAATCTTGTGTCCTCTGCCCAATTTCTCCCACTCCTATTCTAGCACAGATTAATTTTACCTGTTTTCAAGGTTCGTGTAAAGAACATTGTATAGAATGTTCTCTTGTATCTGGCATCTTTTACCTAGCCTTTGTGAGATTCACTCACTAGAGTGTGGTTTGGTTTATGCATAGAACCTCAGTAAACTCTCCTTTTACCTCATCTACTTCCCCAGCTCATCCCCCCTGCTCATCAGCCTGTCTCACACCTATAAAATGAAGGCTCACTGCCCTGAAACCATGCCATTGATAGTGGCATAGCATATGGCTAGGTTGAAAAAAGAGATTGATTTGTGTTTAGTAACTAATGCTTCCTCCATGCTGATTTTGTTTCCATCCTCACAGACAACAGGGATTTCTCTAAGTAGACCCTGGTGCTTTCAGAAGATTAGTGGTTACTTAAATGCTTAGCTAAATCAGCCAAGCAGAGAATCACGACCATATTGTTAGAGGCAGTCTTTGATTCTCAATATGCCAAGCCTGCAAGGAGTTACCCCAAGAGAGATTACAAAATAAAAATCATTACACCAAGGGAGAGAGACCTGTCTTGCTGAGTGACCACAGGTTTCCAATTTAGGGACTGATGCATTAATGTCTTATGCAAGAGTGACCCTTAAGGTAGTATTCTGTGTTCTTGCCACCCAGTGGATTCCAATATGACTATTAAGGGGAGGAAGCTTTTCAAAACCACAGGCAATCCATTTAATAAGCTGAGCAAGTACTGCCACATATCACTGTTCTACAAATCTTTTTTCCCTATGTTAGAACATAAGAAATTCCTTGTTGGGTCAAAACAATGGTGCATCTGAGCCAAAATATTGTGCAATTCCGATTGAAGAACCAAATTATTTTTATCACTCTAAAAATTTAGGCATATGCACTAAATACTGTTAACTTGACCTTGCTAATTCCTTAAATATCCAGTAACCTTGGGTTTATCTAAATCTTTATTCATCCTAGATACAGTCCCTTTTAGGGCAATGAATTCTATTTGTTTAAGTACAAGTTGTGTAAAGTGTACTTTTATTTTCAAACTACTTCCTAAAATAAGCACTATTAAATTAGACATTGTACTATTTTGCAAATTTGTTGTTTCATGGTGAATGTCAGGTATATCATCCTTTCATTAGTGCTCATTTATTATTTTCTTTCTTTTTTTTTTATTTGTCTTTTTGGTTTTTTATTGGTACCGGGGATCGAACTCACAACCACACACTTGCAAGGCAGGCACTTATGCCACTGAGCTAAATCCCCAGCCCCTTCATTTACTATTTTCACTCCAAAATTATACCTGATGTTTTTTCTTGATTCCAGTTATTTCTGTGATCTGGTTTCTACAAAGACACCGCAGTAAAATCTGACATGGCATAATGTCAACACAGATTAAATTATCATTTTATACTCATTTTCTTTTAAATACCACTCATGTAACTGATTGAAATACCCATGTTTTCACAGAAAAGAAGTAAGTCATTTTGTGTAAGTGGCAAGTGAATTATGGGAAATTACTCATTTATAGATATGAAGGTACTCATTGGCCAAGTTAGAAATGATAACTATCATTTATTGGGAGCTAACTATGCCAGATGCTGGACTAAATTCTTTGTTACATTTTCCCTACAATTTATAACTCTGTAAGATAGTTCTTATAACTCTACCAGGTACAACCTGTTATTATCACCTATTCGTATACAAGAATGCTAAAGCTTGGGGATGTCACATGGCAAATAAACAGTAGAACCGTGATGCAAGCCTAGTCTATCTGACATCACAATTGCTTTCCTGCCTGTTTGGATCCATGTACTGTTGATAAGGAAGACTGGGTTCTAGATACTCGGTCTCCCTGTGTTATCATAAGCAATATCATTTAATCTCTCGAAGTCTCACCCTAATCTATAAATTATGGGTGGCTGAAATGGATCAAAGTCTCTTCTATATCTAAAATTTTGACTATCCCTTTGCACCGTTTTGTTTCCTTCCCCAAAGTAACTGTTTTTATGAAAGCCAAGTCAAGACCATACAGAACAGCCAAGGAAGACTCACTTACTTTTTTTTCATCACAAATTGCTACTTTGCATCCCTCTGGAGAGCTTAAATATACAATTTTCCCCATGTTAACAATGTCTATCTCTTTGGTAAATTTCCATTATTTTTACTATGCTTATAAAGTTAAAGGCTATAAAAGCAAAAAAAAAAAAGTTTTAAAAGGATGTAGAAAGATTGCAGTTGAACACTTTCCTCCTCCCTACCCTGCCAGAACTGGGGATTTAACACAGCATCTTTGCACCGACTTACATCCCATGCTCTTTTTTCTATTTTTTTGTTTTGTTTTGTTTTGTTTTGGGACACAGTCTTACTAAGTCATCAAGTTGCTAAGGTGGGCTTGAATTTGTAATCCTCTTGCCTCAGCCTCCCACAGTGCTGGGATTAAGATTGTACCACTGTGCCTGGCTTTGCTTTCCTTTTTTATGATCAAAGATCCATTTCTCTCATCTTTAGCCAGACATAAGAGGTTTGAGTTGTTTTAAGAATTTCTATGGAGAATAACAATATGCCCTCTCTGTTCTAGCAATCTTACATTAGGTTCATTAAGATAAGTACTACTACATCCACCATCCTATAACTGGGAAAGCTGAAAAAGAGAGAGAGGAGCAAGTTGCCTGGGGTCTTACTTGTAAGTGGAAGGATTTGAGCTCTGGTCTTATAGCCCGTATTTCATCTGCTTTCCTCTTGAAACCTGAAATTGTGGCCTAAGTCACCTCTTCTATTATCAGTTACAAATGTGCAGCTAATAACCAATCCAATTGTCTTAATTATTTTAAGTCATAAATCTATAGGCATACTTTGTGTTTCCCTGACAAGTAAAAGGGTGCCAGAGTATGGGATTCTGTCTGCGATTTTACTGCAGGCTGTTTTAATGTTTGCCCACCAGCCAACCAGAGCTTCTAGAACCAGCCAAGTCGCTTTAGAAAGAATGGCAAATCGACATTTTTTGATTAATAGTTCTAGGTGAGCCTAGTGTTATTAGAAATGCATAAGATTGCAGACTAAAATGTAAAGAGAAGATACTTTCACAGGCACAATTTTAAAAATTATATTGAAACTAAACTAAAAATGTCTTCTCAAGGGTATCGCAACTATTATTCTAAATATTTTTTGATTATCTAATTGTATTATGTTATGCTCAGACTGTCATTCTGTGCTTTTGTCTTATCCCAGGTGCACAGACCCACTTACTCTTGTTCTCTTGTAAGATACAGCCTACTACTGAGCACTTCAGACCTACAGAAAGGCTGCACATTGAAAGGGCTTGGGAATCAAATGCAAAATCAGGTTCAGGAGAACCCAAGGACAAGTGACCTCAAAGCAGCATGGACAACCATGTAAAATAGACTGTAGCAGCCATTCATTAGTGGGGGGAGGGGGGAGCCAACCAGAGCAGTCAATGCTTGTTGCATCTTTTGGTGGAACCAAAGTTTGAGTATTTGTGTTTTTAAAGGACAACCGAACCCAGAGCAGGGAAAGTGCTGTTCACCAACAGACTCGCTGGGAAATCCATGGGTGATCCCAAAAGGTCTCAGTTCCGCACACACGGAGAGACCAGCTCTATACGATTGTCTTTTACTTTAGAAGAAGTGAATCTTAATGCAAAGAAAACAGAAGACCTGTTCCAGGAGCAGGAATCGTGTTTAGACAGATGAGAAAACATCAGTTGAAGAAACTTGCTTTTCATAGCAACCTGGACAGACACACGTGGCCCCTTCCTCTCTGGTACTTTGCCTGCTATATGAATGAAGATTGTATTCCTCTGGAAATATTTTACAGTTTAATAATGAGTGTAATTAAGAATATAATCATGTTATCAAAAATGGTATTTAACTGTTGTAGTTTCTTTAACATTCATGTGGATAAAAAAATCTATAATAAAAAACTATGAAGTACTAGTTGTGTTCATGTAATTAAATGCACATTTATTTAGGGGCAATTCATAGAAATGAATGCTTTTTAGAATTATTTTGGCATTAAAATATTTGAATAAATTATTTTTGAAAACAGAAATCCTTCAGAAATGATTATTAAAGGCTAGATTAACCTTTGGCCCTACTCACCATCTGCAGACCTCCACATTATGTTAGGTTCTTTATGTAGGTAAAACAATGTTCTAAATTAAGTGTTGATGATAAAGTTGGTATTGTGGCTTCTTCCTTATTATTATGTTAAATCCAAGTCTGTGTGATCATTTTATGCCAAAAATTCTGCCATTTATGAAAAAACAGATAAATCAAAATACTGACTCCTTAACTATCAAGATTTTTTAAGGCAATTATGGGTTGAGAAAAAAGCCCATGATGAGCCACCCTCAGCAAAAAGTATATTCCTTTGCAATATTTTATTGTTTAATATTGACCTTCCAAACTGACCAATGCATCTTACCACTGGCAAACCTCAACAGATTTTCAAAAAACATTTAAAGTGCATTACTATGATATTTAACATTTCCCCTTTATCCAAAGGAGCTCCACAATTTATTGTTAAGATAAATATTTTTATCTTAGTTGGCACATTATTGTTAGCTTTCTGTCACTGTAAAAAATACCTGAAATAAGCCAACTTACAAGGAAAAAGAGGTTATTTTGGCTCACCGTTTGAGAGGTTTCCATCCCTGATCAGTTGGCTCTATTATCTTTGAGACTGTAGTGAATCAGTACATCATGATGGGAATGTGTAGAGAAGGAATGTGCTCATCTTATGGCAGCCAAGAAACAGGGGAAAAGAGTAGGGGCCAAGCTCCAAATATTCCCATAAGAATGCACTTCAGTGACCTAAGTTCCTTCTACCAGGCCGTACTTCCTAAAAGTTCTATCATCTTCTAGTAGTTTCACAGCCTGGGCACTAAGCCTGGAGCACCTGGACCACCAGGAGTCATTCAAGATCCAAACTATAATATACACTAAGAAGCCAAAAGAAGGATGTTCATTTGTAATTTTCTTTCTAGTTTATGAAAGATGAGAAGCTATGTCAGAAAAAGTATATAAACCAAGTCCTGGAATGAAATCTAAGGACAGGTTCCCAGCAACCCCTAGAAGAAACTAATATGAAGATTCTACAACAAAGGATTTCCTTTGAGCCTTTCTTCCAGGAGGCTATGTCTGAGCATGGGTGACACATTTCTCAAACCGGCCTGAAATATCTTTCTTTTATTTCCAATTGCAACTGGTAAATGTCTCAGAGTGCACAAATGTCATCAAATGACTTTTTTTTTTTTTTTTTTTTTTTGGTCTTTTTCATTTTTATCGGTACCGGGGATCAAACTCACGACCGCCTGCTTGCAAGGCAGGTGCTTATGCCGCTGAGCTAAATCCCCAGCCCTCAAATGACTTTTTAGCAAAGGATAATCAGGGTGAGATAAAATGAAAGGTATGTCTACAGAGCCATGGAGTTATTAATCACAGAATAGCTCTAAATAGAGTTAATAGACATATTCAATGCACAGAATCTCATTGGCCTCTCCTGCTGATAATATAATGCTGCACTGATGTCTTCTAGCTCGCCTCCCAAATTCCAGGTTCCAAAGAAGCTCAGCAGTACATCCTGCTCTGAGCTAGCACTCAGAGGATGCCAACTGTCCTTATTCCCTTAGCCTGAAAACTTTGTCTCTTAAGGTATTTTATTAGACTTAGTTTATATGCCCTACAAACACCAGAACCTAACCACACTCCTTGTAACCATAAAATGACATACTAAAAAACAAAAGCTTTAGAGAAAGGAATCTAAGGAAATCCAACAATGGTAGGGAAACATGTAATTTACTTCACCTGTTTTCTCATTCTGGATAGTAAGCATTTCTTCCCTATTCTAGTAAGGGTTGATGCTTTTAGGCTGGAACAGAAAGACTTTCTCTTAAAAGTGGATACGATTGAATTATCTGAGTTGCCTGTGGAAACAGACAAGACATCCATCTACAGCACTGCATGGGCTAAAAATAAAGCCACTCTTCAGCAGGACAAATGAAAATTCTTGGCTCTATATAAAATGACAGCAGAAAAACACTGTGCTCTTTTCTTTGACAGTTTTATCATATCAAAATTCTAAGGTCAATCCAAATACTAACTAATGAAGAATTCAGGCAATGCAAATAAAATTCTCTTTTTTAATTCTAAATTAAATTATAAGATTAAAAACCTTAGAAAATCAAAGCAAAAATTCTGGCTCAACCAATAAAGTATTTCATGTTGAGGCAAGCCAGACACATCAGACTGACGCTTTCTGTCCTCAGAATGCCTGAGTAATTGCTCGTCTGTTTGCCATAGGCAAGGAGAGAGGGACATCGCACCCCAATTTCTGTAGATTGAGCAATGAGAGTAGACTCAGCTCTGTGGAAAAGAGGAAGAACATTCCTAGTTACAAGGGATATTATTAGAGAAGAGCTCTATCATTTAGAATTTAAGGCAACCTTGGTCAGCAGTGAGGAAGGTGAAAGGACCGCTGGTGCATGGTAAGGATGTACATCACGTTATTGAAAGGACAGGCCATACCCAAGAAGGCAAGTTCTTTGTCTCCCTACCAACATAGTACACAAGACCTGATATATTACAGGGCTCCTCACAGACAATCTAAACCATATTTATAGCCATACTGTCTTTAGAGGAGTAACATGTACTCTAAACTTTGTGGGGCACAGGAAATATTCTAGCTCACCATCATCTCCTAATGATTGTTAGCTCAGTCCCTAGCATGCACTTGCTATACAAAACATTTTTGCTAGACAAATAAATGCATCTGTCATCTATTTTGTTTTAGCCAAGGACCAGAGTAGATCATTTCACCGTTGTCCCTTTAAAACATTCTCTCAAAAGACTGTTGGCATTTCATTTAGTTTCAAATGAGCATTTGTGGCAGATTACTATTGTCATCCCTTAGCATCCATTCTCAGTTGGTGATACATCTGAATAAAAGACTGTCTTTTTCCAGGGCATCTGGATAGGCTAGTAACTCTTTTCTGGCCTCTAATATAGAGATGGAAAAGCGGAACTTTCAGAAAGTACTCTTCAAAAAAGTTTCACTTAGGTTTTTTTTTTTAAATGCTCCTTTAATCCATTCCTTTTTCCTCTTTCCTGATGTCTGTACTATGTTTCTTGGTAGTTATTTAATTTATGGGGACAGGGACTTGCTACATAGTTAAGGCTAGCCGTGAACTCACTTTGTACCCCAACCTGTTCTCAAATTTTCAGCAATCCTCCTCCCTCAGACTCTTGAGTGCTGGGAGGACAGATGTGCACCAACATACCTGGATTATATGATAGCTGTAGTATTTTCATATTAAAAAATGAATCTTATTTAAGCCCAGGTATATAAGACTGAGTCCAGTGGGTCCATACCTTTTTCTCCTGTAAATTTGTACTTTAGAGTAATAGTAGCCAGTTGTGCATCTTAGTACATTTCCCTGAAGGACACAGGAAGCAATTTATGTGTTTAATCTACTAAATATGATGAATGGCCAGGTACATGCATATGTGCAAACGTAGCAGAATGGAATTTTTACCTACCTTATATTCTGTATAACTTTGTTTTCATATGTTTACCCAGTGACCACAGAGGTTCCACTAGACATACAACACTCCAAGATTTGTTTTAAAAAGTTTTCTTTTGATATTCTGATAGAAGTAGCCCAATTTAGTACAATGGCACATGAAAAACCAGATTTGCAAGTTTTGGAGGAGAACAAAACTGAATCATCATATTATTCAAGCAGGAACGATGAAGATGATACATTATGGTAAAATACATGCTTTTAATATCAGAAGAGTGGTGTGGGCGAATGATGATGATGATGATGACTTTGACATTATCCATGTAAGAGAAAGTTCTCCTGATGATGAAATGGAGTAGAAATCAACTGATACAGACACAGGGAATGAAGACTTCCTTGATTCAGATGATGAAGAAAACATCAATACAAATACATATTTGACCAGTTAAAATCTTGCAAAATGGCCAGACAACCAAATGGCATCAACAATGTTAGATCTAGGTCTGAAAATATAGTGAAGGTCTTAGTAAGGATGAAAGGTATCTGACAGGATGACAGCACTGTCATTTAGTGTTGGAAATTGTAGCATGAAATATTACAAGATGCTGTGAAAAACACAAAGGCTGAAATGCAAGTAAAATATTCTGTATGCACCAACAGCCATATTAAAAAATGTATTTATTATAACACCTCACTAGCTGAACTGGAAGCATTCATAGGTCTGCAGTATTAAGCAAGGATTTTTCACAGTGATGACAAGTATGTAAAAGACATTGAAAAGCAATGAGTCAAAATATGGCATAACGCCTTATAAATGTGAAGACATGATTTACTTAGACATTTATTCTGGAATTCAGCCATTTGGTCCTTATCCATACAGTGATAAACCAAATGATTTTGGGAACAGACTTGTCCCTCCCATCTTGCAAACTAACTGAAATGTGACAGTCAACAATTTGTTTTATAATTTCCAGTTGATGCTACCTTTGCTAGCAGAGTGCAAGTTTACCAGTGTAGAAAGTGGTATGCAGAACCAAAGCTGAAATTCCTAATGAAATGTTGCAATTTCAAAACAGGGTTGTATAGTACAATCACTGGATTGCAGAAAGATAAAATATTGGTCTTGGATATAGCAAAGAAAAACCAGCTGGTACTGCTGAAGTCAACATTTCACCATGATGGAAATATTGATAAGGAAACTTCAACAAAAGGGAAGCCTGAGATGGAAACTTTATACAACACAACTGGAGTAGATGTTGTTGATGAATTATATAGCAGCTATGATATCACTTGAAACAT